TTTTTTCTTTTAATGTTCGTTTAATTTTGAGAGAGAGAGAGACCGTGTGAGCAGGGGAGGGACAGAGAGAGGGGGAGACCCAGAACCCGAAGCAAGCTCCGGGCTCTGAGCTGTCAGTGCAGAGCCCGACGTGGGGCGCGAACTCCCAGACCACGAGATCCTGACCTGAGCTGAAGTCGGATGCCGAACACCGACTGAGCCACCCAGGCGCCCTGAGAGGTTGCTCTTTTTAAGCAAACCTTAAACATGGGGAATACACAAATACAGATACTGTTTGAAATTAACTTAGTTTAAGACCAAACTGATCTGTGCTTCACTTATGGATGTAACTTCTAATTTGCTCCTTTTATCCCCTCTGCTTACATTTTATAGATTAAGGCAGTTGATAATGGTCGCCCCCAAAAGTCGTCAACCACGCGACTCCACATTGAATGGATTTCCAAACCCAAACCATCCCTGGAGCCGATTTCATTTGAAGAACCGTTTTTTACCTTTACTGTCATGGAAAGTGACCCGGTTGCTCACATGATTGGAGTGATATCTGTGGAGCCTCCTGGCACGCCTCTTTGGTTTGATATCATTGGTAAGCATGGCTCAGAGTTTTCATTGTCCGTGTGTGGGTTACACTGAGGAGAACGTGTCTTTGATTTATTTCTGTCTTTGAGAACCTGTCTCTTTTTCTGATTTTTGTGTCCATCTCAGGACTTAAAATTGGGAGCAAGAGCCAGAAGTGGGGAATTTGTCTTAAATTGCAGTATTTTGATTGCAAATGTGTTACAATATCCAGCACGTACTCACCTTGTTTAAAATAGGTGCTGTGTATCATGAACCTAAAAATAAGGTTTTCAGAAGTGCATCAAAGAGTTAGAAATCTGAATGTTTTTGGTTCAAAAGCACAGCTTCTTGATTTTCCTTCTTGATACATAACATGGCACATTGCTATTTTTAACGAATATGGTTTGAATGCTTAAAATAACTGCCTGCTTGACTGTCTCAGGTCAGGCAGTATTTTATAGGGAATAAGCTTACAAATCTTATTTGTATGACTTAACAATGATAGTGCCAACTATGGCCTTTTTAAGTTTGACTTTACCACACTTTGGGAATGTGGGAAGCAGGGTTCACTAGATGAAATAACCCTGTAATAAAAATGACATGCCTAGGTCAGTTTTCCTTTTTCTCGGCCATTTAGTTTAGACCTAGAACGTGTTACCTTATTCTGACATACTTAAAAAAAGAAAATCGCATTAAACTTTGACATCTTAGGTTTTTAAGTGCTGTTTCTTCACATTACCTTAATCACAAAGATACTTAAAAGCAAAAGTACGTATTGCAACTCCTCTCCAGTTGGATCTTTATATTCCTTTTTCCCCTCTTCTGTCCTTTAGCCGCCCTCCGTACCCCAAATGCTACTTCAGTGGGTTGAAGCCGATGGGACTAGGCTGCCAGGGCCACAGGGCGAGGGGGGTACAGGCTTTTTACCTCTTTAATTTTCCACACTAGACTGTTAAGCTCTTTTCCCAGTTTGGGTCATTGTATGAAATTGTTGATGTCATCAACACCTATGAAACCGTTATTTTTTATTTATTTATTTTTTTTAATTTTTTTTTTTTTTTAACGTTTATTTATTTTTGAGACAGAGACAAAGCATGAACAGGGGAGGGTCAGAGAGAGGGAGACACAGAATCTGAAACAGGCTCCCCGCTCTGAGCTGTCAGCACAGAGCCCGACGTGGGGCTCGAACTCACGGACCGCGAGATCATGACCTGAGCCGAAGTCGGCCGCTTAACCGACTGACCCACCCAGGCGCCCCTTTATTTATTTTTTTAAGTTTATTTATTGATTCTGAGAGAGAGCGAGCCAGCAGCAGGGGGAGGGCAGAGAGGGAGAGAGAGAATCCCACGCAGGCTCCACACCGTTACGCGCAAAGCCCGACGTGGGGCTCCAGCTCCCGAGCCGTGAGGTCATGACTGAGCTGAAAACCCAAGAGCCGGACACTTCGCCGCCCCAGCCACCCGGGCCCCCCAGCCGTTACTTTAGTTTTAAAGAAAAGGATTATTTTTGTAACTAACCGCGGTCAAAATAGTGTGTGTGCTGTCTGTTAACTCCTGTCACGCTTGCAGACGAGCAGGCTGCGGCTGTGCCGTGTGTAACTTCCCCGTGTAACACTGACTGCGCTTGGAACTGGTTTGATTGACTGCTCCTCCTTGTTCTGTGCTTGCCTCCCACGCTCGCTTGCTTCTGTTTGGCCGTGCCAGGCGACACACTTGCTAGAGAAGCGTTTCACGTCTTGCAGGTGACTTGTGACCTGAACTGTACAGCAGAAGGTATCTGCTGAGATCACATAATTTGCCTCAGATTATGAGATCTAAGATCAAAGCGTCAGCTTTTAAAGCCTTGTTTCGTGTCCAGTGACTCTCTCATTGCCCTCTGTTTCCATGGTGTGCGCATGGTCACCCATCCCAGCTGCAGACATGCTGACTTCTGATACATCTCCACATCATCCTTAGTTTCAGGTTTAGCTGAAGATTGTGGCTTTTCTGTGTGTTTCGTTTTGCTTTCTGGTGCGTTTTGTAATAGAACATCATCATGACGTTAAGTCTTTATTTTCATTCCATTTCGCTTCATTGATAAAAGTATCTCAAGTGCAGTGGATTTGAAAAGAGAGTTTTATCTAGGATATAATTGGGAATGCATTTGGATAATGCTCGTAGCACAGAAACTTTTGCTTCCTTAAGCTTTGTGTTCGGCAACAATGGGGAAAGTTTCTTTTCAAGTATGTAAGAGCCAGGACTAATTGACATTAACTGCCATTATTTTTTCCAGAGTTAACATTTGTTTTGAATAGTTAATTTATTAGGGCAGGTCGTTCAAGTGTCATAATTTTTGTGTGTGTAGTTAAACGTTTAAATAGCTGATTTTGGTTAGCAAGTGATGCTTTATATAGCTACTGAGCTATATAAATTAAAGACCTATTCAGAACCCCTGAAGGAGCAAATCGAAAGTAATTCATTGGCAATATTAGCAACGTTTTTGTTTTCAGAGTTGCTTTCCTCTCAGTTACTAGCTTCCCTTGAAATTAGAGCTCAACTTTGCATTAGTAAGCATTGTCTTTCTAGTTGGCCCATCTTTTCTTGTCTTTCAAAATGAAAGCTCCTTGGAATCACCTTGATCAATATCAGAAGTGTTTTGGTTTTTTTCCCCCCTGTCATTCACAAGTAGAAAGCCCCAAAATAAATGGCAGAATTTCATCCTATGACCTACCTGTTGTTACTTTTCTGTATGTCCTAATTTAACCTAGGTGGCAACTATGACAGTCACTTTGATGTTGACAAGGGCACCGGAACGATCGTTGTTGCCAAACCTCTTGATGCAGAACAGAAGTCAAACTATAACCTCACAGTCGAAGCCACAGACGGAACCACTGCCATACTTACACAGGTAGGTGACTTAGTAAGGATGCGTTTGTCAGAGGAAGATTAGTATGACCTTGTGATATCCGGGGCCCAGGGGCGGTATGGGCAGTTGATTCTGCCCTCGGAGGCTCACAGAGTTACTGTGTTGTTAGAGTTTCCACATATGCACACCAAGGCTTTGTATTTAGGGAAAGAAAATTAACTGCACATCTCAGTTTAGGTTTGCATGTAATTACCCAGTTTTGGAAATTTTGCAAGAAGACTTAAAAAGCCCCCTTTTAATTATCAAAATCTTTCAATTTTTTTGCTGATTTTGAACAATATTAATATAAAATCTATAACTATTGAGGATGAATTCTCCGAGTCATTTTCATTAAAGCTCATTAAAGTGATTGATTATGTCTTAAATCCCTTTTCTCAATTCCCCCACCTTGGCTACTTTAACTAGGGCTGTATAAAATGGTAAAATTGTTGTCATAATTCACTTAACATCTTTATTTGTTCCTATCTGATGATTAAGAGATGGTCAGATTACTGGGAATTCAAATTGAAATGGCAAAAATCCTATAAATTAAGTCTATATTCTCTTTGATTCTCATTGTGGACTGTTAGAGAATTTGTTAAACACTCGTTATGTGGCAGGTTTCTTCTAGAAGCTAAATACTAGGAAACAAAATCCTGCACCTTTGGAGCTTACCTTAGGATTGTAGAAGCTAGGATGTACATATAATCTGCTGTACTCTGAAAGAGGAAGAAATTAAATACTGAATAAAATGCTCCTAAATTCCAGTTTTTTATCTTTATTATTTTTTTAATGTTTATTTTTGAGAGGGGAAAAAGGGCATGCACACATGTGAGCAGGGGAGGGGCAGAGAGAGAGGGAGACACAGAATCTGAAGCAGGCTCCAGGCTCCGAGCTGTCAGGATGGAGCCCAATGCAGGGCTCAAAGTCACAAACTCGGAGATCCGTGACCTGAGCTAAAGTTGGAGCTTAACCAACTGAGCCACCCAGGCTCCCCAGCCAATTTTTTTTTTTTATCTTAAATTATACTAATTTAAATCTGATATGAGACAGATCATCTGTCAAATCATCTCGTAGGATTGAAGACTAAAAGTCTGAGATGTCTTTTCAACTAATGAGTGAGTAGATAATTTAGAGCCAGTTATGAAAAGGCCTTATTCATTTCTCTAAATGCTTGTGGTTTTTAGTGTATTTGCAACTGACATATGTACCATGCTTTGGGGTCATTTTGAGATTGTCATGTAAACGTTTTAGCACAGTATTAAAATTTCATTTTTGTCAGTAACTGTTCCCATTATAGAAGTTAGGCTTTAGAGCATGAACATGAGAATAAAAATATCAAGAATTGTAATAAATTTAACAGGATAAATTTTGAAAGGCTCAAAGAGTATAACTTTATGTGGACCAGCTCAAATAATCAACTAGCCAGAAATCTAGCAAAAGGAACTAAATGGCTCTCTGTGCCAGGCGTTCTCATTAATGAAGATGCTCTGTTTACCTGTAGGATTTACCACTTACTACATAGGTGAGTAATTAGCAGAGGGCTCCTCCCCCAATAATTGTAGTGTTAGCTAGGACAGTCAAAAGCTTAGTGTGAAATGTGGTGCAGGTTGATTGAAATATCGCATAGATCCTGGCAAATAGATTCTAGTGTTTTGAGGGATGCAGAATGTCTTCAGTTTCAGTCTTTCATTTATACTTCTGTAAGTTATTTTGAGTCATTTTCAGGGGGTCTTGGTAATATTCTCATGAAATTGCCGGCGGGGAGAGGTAGTCAGAATATTAGTGGTTACAGAGCCCACGCTGACCTGTTAAAGTGTGAGACAGAGGGGACGGTCAGTAATTAGGTTTACATTTCCATGTGGGGCAGATGACAGGGAGATAGGAGTGTGAGTGAGAACACAGCAGCAGATACCATCTGAAGAGCATCACCGAGATCAGAACCAGGTTGATAAGGTACCAGAAACACAGCCCAGTAGATTCAGGTTTGTAGGTAAAAGTCCGGAACCAACAGGGTGAGTTTTGCTGCATTGAGGTCAATAGCCAAGGGCAAATCGGAGATTTGGGGATTTGGGGGAGATTTGGAGATGTGGGGTTAAGCCATAGTGAGTGCATCATCAGCAGAGGTGGGTGGTGGTGGGGGGCGGGTCACAGTGTAACCCCCAGTACCTTCTGGAAACAGCACTGCTCCATGCTTTCCTGTCCTGCCATTTTCTGCTTCGGATGCTGATGGGTATTGATTCAAGTCACTTTGCTTTATCTGGTGTCTCGAGGTAACTTACGAAATCCAGTTAAGGCTTTTTCTTTTCTTCAAAACAGCTTTGCTTTCATGTTTTCTTACGGTTTCTTTCAAGCATCGGTCAACATTATGCTCAGGTCATTTGGTTGAATCTCTTAACCCTATCCATTAGCAAGTGGCTAAAACCCTTTGTGTTTCCCTTTTCTTACCTGGAAACTGGGCATCGTGATTTTGTCCTCACAGGCACTTCTGAGGGGTGAGTGAGGTAGCACACGGGGTGCTTGTGCTTGAAGCCCCTGGAACCAGTTGCCCTTGTGCGCCCACAGAGCACTCGCTATTGCGTATCAGCACTGGTTTGGACTCTTTTCCCCACTTGACACCTGAGTCACCTCCCTGTCCCCATTCTCCACCCCTGCGATTCATCTTGCTCTGCTAGAATAGTCTGCCAGTTGAGAAGAGGAGGTAAAGGTGAATTTCCTCCCAACAAATAGTTCAAAGCACACGGGAGTTTTTGTTCTCAATGCTCTGCATACTGGATCCTCCCTTCTCCCTTCTCCTTTACCATCTCTTAGTTCGATGTCCTTCTCTCCAGTCTCCAGAAGCCAAGATGTGTGATGCTGTTACTTGCCTTCACGTCTGACCAAGGCGTTCCCCCCCAGTCCCAGTATACATTGATCATCTACGCAAGCCAAGGCTTACCTCCTCCTTAAAAGCTTTCAAATGTCCCACACCATCTCTGGACTCCTAAAAAGTTACTTGATAACTTAACCTGATAATATGTGGCTTCCTATGCGTAAGACATTTCATGCGGAGGTTGGAAGCTACCCAGGGCAGAGGCTGTTGCACATATATTTGCCCCCCAGTGTTGTGTAGGTGAGTGCCGAGTGTATAAGGGCCCTGCGGCCGTGTTTCAGTGGAGTTGCTGTATCAAAAATGGTTGTTAACTGGGGCACCTGGGTGGCTCAGTTGGTTAAGCGTCCGACTCCGGCTCAGGTCATGATCTCACAGTTCCTGGGTTCAAGCCCTGCGTCAGGCTCTGTGCCGACAGCTTGGAGCCTGGAACCTGCTTGATTCTGTCTCTATCTCTCTCTTTCTCTCTCTGCCCCGCCCCCCTTGTACTCTGTCTCTGTTTTTCTCTCAAAAGTAAATAAACATTAAAAAAAAATTTAAAAAAAAAGGTTGTTACTTTAGCTGTTCTATTTAGTTGTGATTAATTGACTTTAGAGCAGAAGTAAAGTACCTCTGCCCTACACTAACTTCGTTAGAAAAATAATAACATAAATTTATAGCGGAAATGAATATATAATGGTTTAACTTAGAGAAATTATAACCATCTCTTCTGGATCATCACTGACCTTTGAAAAATGATCTGTAATTTTCAATGTTTACATAACTTTCACGTAAAATCTTTCTGTGGTTTAGTGAATGCATATCTTAAGTATATAAAGTTTAATGTTACAAGTCCATCAGTGATGTTGTAGGGTTTTATGAGAGCACTGGTGTAGTTTCCATGGAAAGACCTCTAGTTCACATGCCTGCACCAGTGTGCTTAATAAAAACCTTTGCATTCCCGGGACTTTGTCCTACTGTGCCATTTGGACTAGTGAACCTCTTTATACAGGCTAATGAAGCTCAGATTTCTTGGTCGTAACTAAACCATCTTATTATAATTGGTACTGATTTGCACTATGCCTTATCCACACACATCTTTTCAATCTGAAAAGTAATCCTCTTACTGTTAAAGTAAAAAAAAATAGTTTTAATTCAGCTTAGGACTAAGTTTTTTTAATATTGGCTTTTTTTCCCTCTAAGGTTTTTATTCTAGGATGACTTTTTTTTTTTTTTAATTTTTTTTTTCAATGTTTATTTTATTTTTTTGGGGACAGAGAGAGACAGAGCATGAACGGGGGAGGGGCAGAGAGGGGAGAGCACAGAGTCGGAAGCTGGGCCCAGGCTCGAGCCATCAGCCGGGAGAAGCCCGGGCGCATGGGGCTCAACTCACGGACCATGAGAGTACGTGACCTGGCTGAAGTCGGACGCTTAACCGACTGTGCCACCCAGGCGCCCCTTTTTTTTTTTTTTTTTTAAGAGAAAGAGTGTGAGAGTATAAGTGGGGCAGGGGCAGAGAAAGAGGGAGAGAGAATCCCAAGCAGGTCCCATGCCCACTGCAGAGCCCACAGGGCTCGATCCCATGACCGTGAGATCATGACCCAAGCTGAAGTCAAGAGTCAGATATATAACAGACTGGACCACCTAGGTGCCCCTGTGCTGACATATTTAAGAGAGTGTATCTTTTCAGTGTCCTTAAATTTTTTTTAGGAAATGAGTGTGTTTCCTATTTATATGTAATTTTTATGGTCACAAAAATGTAATGAAGATTTTAAAGCACATTTCTAATTTATCAATAGCAATTTGGAGTCCTAAAGATTAGAATGAGAAATTTAAATACTAGGAATCATCTAAAAGATAAATAGATCAACACAGTAATCATCCAGTATCGTACTCTCCTCATTAGTGTGGTGGTTGCAGATTCAAATCTGATACAAGAAATTAGCCTTCTGTAAATCCTGCTCAAGTAAATTCTTGGTTACTCTTCCATGACTACTCTAGAAATATCTCTCTAGTGGTGACCTAAGAGAAATTAAGTATTCAGTCAGAAAGAAGTGTGTGAAAGGTGTTACATATGCCCTCCAAAGTTACTCTCAAGAATTTAGAGAGGTGTTCATTATCTTGCTCATACAGGTAAGAAGCAATGAAAAATTTTAAGGATTTTTTTTTTTTTTATTCTAGGTTTTTGTTTTTATTTCCCAATTTTGTATTTCATTTTGCTAAATCCATTTTTTTCCCCATTGTGCACCTGATTTTTCCCCTTGATTCTATAAATATTAAAATATTATACGGGGCGCCTGGGTGGCGCAGTCGGTTAAGCGTCCGACTTCAGCCAGGTCACAATCTCGCGGTCCGTGAGTTTGAGCCCCGTGTCGGGCTCTGGGCTGATGGCTCGGAGCCTGGAGCCTGTTTCCGATTCTGTGTCTCCCTCTCTCTCTGCCCCCTCCCCCGTTCATGCTCTGTCTCTCTCTGTCCCAAAAAATAAAATAAAAAACGTTGAAAAAAAAAAATTATAATTAGGGATATTATAATGGGTCTTTTTGGTCATTATAGGTATTCATCAAAGTAATAGATACAAATGACCATCGTCCTCAATTTTCTACATCAAAATATGAAGTTGTTATTCCTGAAGACACAGTGCCAGAAACGGAAATTCTGCAAATCAGTGCTGTGGATAAGGATGAAAAAAACAAGCTCATCTATACACTGCAGAGCAGCATTGATCCATTGAGTCTCAAGAAATTTCGTCTTGATCCTGCGACAGGCTCTCTCTATACTTCTGAAACACTTGATCATGAAGCCATCCACCAACATGTTCTTACCGTCATGGTACGGCTTTCTTCTCATCCTTTGGCCAGTATTTGGTTTCTGAAAGGTCTCCTGTGTTTAAGAGTGATTTTTAATCCCATATAGGGGAACCCCCCCCCCCCCCCCCCCCCCCCACACACACACACACATACACAGGAATGATAATGTATTGAATCTTTCAGGTACGGGATCAAGATGTTCCTGTGAAGCGCAACTTTGCACGGATTATTGTCAATGTCAGTGACACCAATGACCATGCCCCCTGGTTCACAAGTTCCTCCTATGAAGGGAGGGTTTATGAATCTGCAGCTATTGGCTCAGTAGTATTGCAGGTTACAGCTCTGGACAAGGACAAAGGGAAGAACGCTGAAGTGCTATACTCGATTGAATCAGGTAATTTTGGAGCCCTCAGTATGTTAACTTTAAAAAGTACATTTCTTTTCCAAAATTTCACATGTAGAAACATTTCTGCGTGTCACTGTAAAAATGGCTTAAATTGATCTTCAACTACCATTTTACATATTAGGAGAAAGAAGCCTCTTTAGAAAGCAAGGTGAGACTTGTGAGACTCCTACATTCCAATAAAGAGATTCACATTCTTAGCATGATTCAAGGCTCTGAGAAGTCTTGCAGTGAAGAAAACCGGTCCAGTTCCTTATTTCCACAATGTTGTAACCATACGACATTTTCCTCCATAAGACTTGTTAACTCTGAAACATTGTTAGGAAACCACTGGCCTTAGTAATTTAACTTTTAGCCAGGGAGTATTTTCTCTTGGGCAGAGCGGGAAATTCCACGACAAGAGTGCTGGTGTCCTGCCTCTGCTTCCCCCTTCCAGGGTTAGTTTTTCTGCCCCTGTCACCCACCTTTTACAGATTGAGTTTCCTTCATGGAATTAGGTTGTTGCAATAGGGCCCAGGGTGGCGATTTGGACTGGAAACGTTGAAAAGCCCAAGGAGCCTGCTGGAATTGGGCAAGGAAGGCCAACTGAACTGTCGGTGTGGGCCTTTCTTCTAGGTGTGGCAGGGCAGGAAATCCAGGGTCTTGCTGGTGGACACAAGGAGGATCACCCAGAAATAGTTGTACCAAAGTGAAATATTTTGTTCTCTGTTCTCTTTTATGATGCCATTCGGTCTTTCATTTATTCATTCCATGGGTGCCGCGCTAGGAACTTGATAGGTGGAGGCTATCACTGCTCCACAAATGTATGTTCATGGCAAAGGAAAGCCCCTGATTGACACAGGGATCTGCTTTAGGGTATATGTTTTGTACTGTTAGAATTCATCTTGCTTTGGAACTTTCCCTCCTGCCAAATACAATGAGTAAGTGATTAAGTATCAAGAAGGCGGCTTCCATTTTTTCCATGTTTCTCAAGGTCATTGTTAGTACAAAGAATATAGTCTCTTTCATTCTTCTCGCTCTTTCATAAGTCTGTTCCTCTGCATATTTAGAAATTGTGCATTTCCTAGACATTGGTATTGGTGTAGAGGTATGAATTAACTATAGGTCCTATAATCAAAAGCTGGGTACATGGAGAATAATTTTTAAAAAAATGTGTTTTATGTGGTTAAACTATTTTTACTTCTTAGTATTTTCAAAGCTTCATTTGTTTCCCTGAAAATAACCAAATATAGTCCATTACTTACAAATAAGATCTTATGCGTTGCTCGTAGTTCAAGGTTAAAAATGTAGTGAGTGCCTTGAACAAAGATGAAGGTTTTTCCACGGGGTCAGAAATTTCGTTGTTAAAAAAAACAGTGCATTCCCTTTGTGCATGCCTGCGCACTTCAGTAAAATAATTTTCTCACAGACAAACCGCCTGGGTTTGTGTAGGAGAAAATGTTCGACTTTCCCCTTAGCTTTCACATAATTTTCAACAACTGGGTGGTTAAAGTACGATTCTTGGTGCCTCACTAAAGGCTTGTGCATTCTTTAAATGCTTGTGATGACTGATGGGATTAGTAATTTGGTATTCCAAGAATGAACTGTATCTCCACTCAAACAGTAGATAATACCAAGGGCCTATTTCAGTGTAGCATTTGAACTTCTTAGAAGATAATTTTTATAGATTTGGTAATATAAAAAGTGTGCTCAAAAATTGTAGGCAGCAGCCACTGTTAAAATGCAGAAGAGTGTGTGTGTGAATCTGTTGGAATAGGTGGAAATGTAAAGTGGTCATAACACCTTTCATTTAAGTTATTCATATTCACCTTCTCATTTGTCAGGTTACATTTAATAAAGTTCAGAAAACTAGTTACAAATTCAGGCTGTAACACTGCATGTTTAATTAGCAGCAATTCATTGAGCAAAAAGTTTGGTCTCATTAGGAGTCTTCAGGGAAAAAGGAATTAATTAAAGGATATTTTCAGTAACAACTGACTTAACGTGTTCAGAGACATCAGCGCCCTATTCTGGACCGTGTGTGTGTGTGTGTGTGTGTGTTTGTTTCTTTTTTTTAAGTAGATTATTATAACTTCCAAACTGTCATAATGCCTGGAAATAGAAGATACTCTGTAAATATCCTTATTGACTAGAATTGATTTTCTTCCTCAAACTTAGGTTAAATAGAAGTGCAATTGCAACTGTATGTTTCACACTTGAGGCTGCCATCCTGTTGGGCAGTCAGCACTTTACTGAGGGTCCACAGAGTGTCCACCATAGGAAGAAAGATTTCTGTGCATAGCTCTCTGACATTTCTTTTGGGGTGTATGTGTGTAATACAGTCATAGCTAATGTGCCCAAATTCACATGTTTGTCCAGATAATTGCCTACTTCAAACACAACAATCTAGGGCTACACGGAAATCACCAATATCTCCAGCTAAAGTGAATGACTTAAGCCCCCAACCTAGTAAAGAGTTCCACCACTGCCCTATTAATTTCTTGACAAATAACATGCGTGTATTTCTGCATTTGATGAATTGTACCCATTAGTGGATCAGACGGGCATGTTTAAGCCACTCAGCTGCCCTGCAGTGGTTTTCCACATAAGTATGTTGCTTTCCCATCTGCAAATCTGATGATTCCTTCCATACCGTATATGTATGTCGGAAACCCACTGTTAACTGGCTAGCTGGGTTCCTGTTTAACCTTCCTATTAAGATACTTCTGGTAGTAATGTTTCTGAATTTTATATACTGATTAAAAAATTTTTTTTAATGTTTATTTATTTTTGAGAAAGCGTGAGTGGGGGAGGAACAGAGAGAGAGGGAGACACAGAATCCGAAGCAGGCTCCAGGCTCTGAGCTGTCAGCACAGAGCCTGACATGGGGCTCGAACTCCCTAACCGTGAGATCATGACCTGAGCCAAAGCTAGACGCTCCACCAACTGAGCCACCCAGGTGCCCCTATATACTGATAAAAATTTTTATCAGAAATTTCCATTTAGTATGTGTTGCTTTTGTCAAAATGTACTTCAGAATGTAGTGCTTAATCCAACACGTGGTTATTGGTAGTGATAGAAGTAAACTGCAGAAAAACAGAACCAAGTAAAAATATAAATATAGTGCTTTGATGAATGTATTAATATTTTTCAGGCTTCTGGTCCACCCATTTGGTATTTAATTTATCTTTCCATCCATGCATAGAAGTTGTGTCATTCATCAAATATTTACATAGGACATAGGATATGTCTCTGTGTGTCAGGTATTCTTTTTAGGCACAGGTGATAAAAGAATATATAAAACAAGCCATGCTTAAATTGGGCTTACATTCTAGTGGAAGAACGGATAAGAAGGTTGCAATATGTGTTATAAAGAAAAAACAGGATAAGAGAATAAAACAGCCATTCTGATTAGGGAGGTAAAGGAAGGCTTCACCACATTCTCTCAGCAGAAGGGCATTTGGGTAAAACCTGGATGGATGGATGGATGGATGGATGGATGGATGGATGGATGGATGGAGAAGCAATGATAATAGTTGGGGAAGACTGTTCTAGAAAGAACCCACCAAATACAGTCATCCTGAGATGAGAATGTTCTCGCAGGGATGAGGCGCGAAGAGATAGCAAGGCTGGGAGGGCAGGGAGCGCATTGTGTGGAAAGTAGAGTGTTCTAATACCACCAGCTTGTTTCACTGCAGAAAAAAATCTATTCATTCCTCCATGTTGGGCCTTGCATGTTTGAAGCTTTAAGATTTCACTACACCAAATAAGAGAAATGCCAAAGAGAGGATTGAATATAAAATATGGTAGGTCGGCTCCTTCGTTAGTACAGACTTAGGGAAAGCCCAAGGGGTGGGGATGCAGACCACTGTACAAAGGTTTTCTCAGTCTCCATATTAGTCCAGGCAAACAGTCAGTATTGGAAGGCCTGGCTGGCGCCCAGGTAGGGTGAGAAAGGTCCCTGGAGTTGGGGTGACTGACTAAAGCACAATGAGAGAATCTGGGATTGTTGACTCATACATTCAGACAGGCAGAAGTTAGGGTCTGTGAGGCGTGGCAAAGGCCTCACGGCTCACCCATTCATGGGCAAGGGTTCAGCTTGGAACTTGGGGCTTGTAGAGAAGAGAGCCCGGCCTCTGCCCTGTGGTAGACTATTCCTCATGGCCGTGGGGCCGAGACGTGGAACTGGGCAGGCTTAATGAAAACCAGACCCGGTCTGGCCTCAGAAAAAATTATATTATGGATTTTGGGAAAAACTATTAAAGGAAGGAAATGAAGGCTGTCGGGGAAGTGTTTACTAGTAATGATGTGGAGAAAGGAGTGCTTGGTCAATCCCCCGTTTCTAAATCACACTAAGTGATTCTGGCCTGTGAAGGGCCACACGCGGTTGCAAACCTAGACGAAAACAGTACTTGGAAAAAAAAAACAGTTAAGTGGCAAGTCAGGTTCGTTTTGGGGAAGTGGGATAGTTCATTTGGGGAAAATAAACTCAGTTCCGTGAGGGGGATAATGGATTCGGGACTCGTGGATGTGAAACAGAACGGAGACGGAGTGCGTGTAGGTGAATCCAGTCTGAGGACCCTCACACTGCTGTAATCTATCCAAAGAGATCGTAAACTGCTAGACTTCAGTAAGCTGCCGGTGTCTTCAGAAAGATTTCAGTTGATACAAAACCTGGACTATTGTGGAGTTGCATTTGCAGCAAAAGGCACCTACAGTATAGCTGGAAAAGGCCCAAAGCGAATAAGTAAAACCGTCTGTTTTAGAGTTTATCTGTCGGCACTGTTGACACTTGGGAGCAAAAAATCCTTTGTTGTGGGGCTGCCCTGTGCATTGTAGGATGTTTAACAGCATACTGGATCTCTATCCAATGAAAGTTAGTAGCGCCCTCCCCCTCTAGGTGGTGGTAACTAAAAACGTGTCTAGACATTGTTACATGTCCATCTAGACAAGATCGCCCCCAATTGAGAACCACTGACGTAGAGGGTAGATTGACCTGAAAAAGATTAAGAAGGGAATATTACAGAAATCTTCGAAAGCGACACAGTAGGGCAGGTAAGGCACAAGCTCATTCAACAATTCCCTGGATATTTAAAATAAGGGACAGCTCTCTTGAACCTTGTTAAATTTTCTTGGTGACTTGAAGTCTTCCTTTTCATAATGAGTAAGAGTCTTGAAAACTTGCGAGTGATAAATGCTGAAAGTAGAAGTGTGTTCAAAGGGTTTTTGAGGGACCGTTGGAAAATTATTAACTGCCTTACAAAAGGATAACCTTCTACAACATATTCCTGGTTCAGGTGATAGCAAGTGAGTTCTGGCTTTACCTAGAGTAATATTTCTTGTGTTTCTTGCTTTTCATAACTTACAAAACTCTGAAAAGTCTGCCTCATTTTAGGTGGATAAAAATGAAGTGCGTTCTATTCAAATGTTGATAACCCCTGAATTTCTGTATAATTACAGAATAATCACTTTTAAAGATTAAAAAAAAAAAGTTTGTGTATCTCCAGCTATTACTTGTATTGGTCCTTGCATTTTTCTGTAACATGTTTTTACCCCCTCTCCTCCTAGGAAACATTGGAAATTCTTTTACCATTGATCCCATCTTGGGCTTAATAAAAACTGCCAAAGAATTAGATCGAAATAGCCAAGTGGAATATGACTTAATGGTGAAAGCTACCGATAAAGGGAATCCACCAATGAGTGAAATAACTTCTGTGCATGTCTTTGTGACAATTGCTGACAATGCCTCTCCTAAGTTTACATCAAAAGAATATTCTGTTGAAATCAGCGAAACGGTCGGCATTGGGAGTTTTGTCGGAATGGTTACAGCGCAGAGTCAGTCGTCAGTGGTATATGAAATAAAAGATGGAAATGTAGCTGATGCTTTTGATATTAATCCACATTCTGGAAGTATCGTCACTCAGAAAGCCCTGGATTTTGAAACGTTGCCCATTTACACATTGATAATACAAGGAACTAACATGGCTGGTTTGTCTACTAACACAAGTGTTTTAGTGCATCTACAGGATGAAAATGACAACTTGCCAGTCTTCATGCAGGCAGAATATACGGGACTCATTAGCGAATCAGCTTCAACTAACAGCGTGGTCCTAACAGACAAAAATGTCCCATTAGTGATTCGAGCAACTGATGCTGATAAAGAATCAAATGCTCTGCTTGTGTATCACATTGTTGAACCATCTATACACAAATATTTTGCTATTGACTCTAGCACTGGTGCTATTCATACGGTACTGAGTTTGGACTATGAAGAAACAAGTACTTTTCACTTCACCGTACAAGTGCATGACATGGGGACACCACGTTTATTTGCTGAGTATGCAGCTAATGTGACTATACGTGTAATAGACATTAACGATTGCCCTCCTGTGTTCTCCAAATCATTCTATGAAGCATCTCTTTTATTGCCAACATACAGAGGAGTAAAAGTCATCACGGTAAATGCTACGGATGCTGATTCAAGTGCATTCTCACAGTTGATGTACTCTATCACCGAGGGCAACATTGGGGAGAAGTTTTTTATGGACCACAAGACTGGTACTATAACTGTACAAAACACAACTCAGCTAAGAAGCCGCTATGAGTTAACCGTTAGAGCTTCTGATGGCAGATTTGTAAGCTTTACCTCTGTAAAAATTAATGTGAAAGAAAGCAAAGAAAGTCAACTGAAGTTTACCCAAGATTTCTACTCTGCAGTAGTGAAAGAGAATTCCACTGAAGCCAGAACATTAGCTGTCATTACTGCCATTGGGAACCCAATCAACGAGCCTTTGTTTTACCATATCCTCAACCCAGATCGCAGATTTAAAATAAGCCAGACTTCAGGAGTTCTGTCAACCACTGGCATACCATTTGATCGTGAACAGCAGGAGGCATTTGATGTGGTGGTAGAAGTGACCCAAGAACACAAGCCTTCAGCAGTGGCCCATGTCATTGTCAAGGTCAGCATAGAAGACCAAAATGACAATGCACCAGTGTTTGTCAACCTTCCTTACTATGCTGTTGTTAAAGTGGATACCGTGGTGGGCCACGTTATTCGCTCCGTTACTGCCGTTGATAGAGACAGTGGCAGAAATGGAGAAGTGCATTACTACCTTAAAGAGCATCACGAGCATTTTCAGATCGGATCCTCAGGTGAAATTTCACTGAAAAAGCAGTTTGAACCTGACACCTTAAATAAAGAATATCTTGTCACAGTGGTTGCAAAAGACGGAGGAGACCCAGCGTTTTCGGCTGAAGTGATAGTTCCGATCACTGTTATGAATAAAGCCATGCCTGTGTTTGAAAAACCTTTCTACAGCGCAGAGGTTCCGGAGAATATCCAGATGCACAGTCCGGTTGTCCACGTACAAGCCAACAGTCCAGAAGGGTTGAAAGTGTTCTACAGCATCACGGATGGAGATCCTTTCAGCCAGTTTACTGTTAACTTCAACACTGGAGTTATAAATGTCATAGCCCCTCTGGACTTCGAGTCCCACCCGGCTTATAAACTGAGCATACGAGCAACCGACTCCTTGACCGGTGCTCATGCTGAAGTATTTGTTGACATCATAGTGGAAGACATCAATGATAACCCTCCTGTGTTTGGTCAGCAGTCTTATGCCGCAACCCTGTCCGAGGCAGCTGTCATCGGCACGTCTGTCGTTCAAGTTAGAGCGACAGATTCTGATTCAGAACCAAATAGGGGAATTTCATACCATATGTTTGGGAACCATAGCAAGAGTCATGATCATTTTCACATAGACAGCAGCACCGGCCTCATTTCGCTAGTCCGAACTTTGGATTACGAGCAGTTCCAGCAACACAAGATTTTTGTGAGGGCTCTGGACGGTGGCATGCCCCCCCTGAGCAGTGATGTGGTTGTGACAGTGGATGTCACGGACCTCAATGACAATCCGCCACTGTTTGACCAACAGATTTATGAAGCCAAAATCAGTGAACACGCCATGCATGGGCATTTCGTGACCTGTGTGAAAGCATATGATGCAGACAGCTCAGACATAGACAGGTTGGACTATTCCATTCTCTCTGGCAATGATCATAAGAATTTTGTCATTGACGGTGAAACGGGGATCGTCACACTCTCAAACGTGCGCCGGCACACCTTGAAGCCATTTTATAGTCTTAACGTTTCTGTTTCTGATGGAGTTTTTAGGAGTTCAGCTCAGGTTCACGTAACTGTAATTGGAGGCAATCTGCACAGTCCTGTTTTTCTTCAGAGCGAATATGAAGTGGAGTTAGCTGAAAATGCTCCCTTACACACGCTGGTGATCGAGGTCAAAGCAACTGATGGGGATTCTGGTATTTACGGTCACATTACTTACCATATTGTAAATGACTTTGCCAAAGACAGATTTTACACAAATGACAGAGGACAGATATTTACTTTGGAGAAACTTGATCGAGAAACTCCAGCAGAGAAAGTAATCTCAGTTCGTTTAATGGCTAAGGATGCCGGTGGAAAAGTTGCTTTCTGCACCATTAATGTCATCCTTACAGATGACAATGATAATGCACCCCAGTTTCGAGCAACCAAGTATGAAGTGGACATTGGGTCCAGTGCTCCCAAAAGGACATCCGTCATTAAAGTTCTTGCAAGTGATGCCGATGAGGGATCCAATGCCGATGTCACCTATGCCATTGAAGCAGATTCTGAAAGTGTCAAGGAGAATTTGGAAATTAACAAACTATCTGGCATAATTACTACAAAAGAAAGCTTAATTGGCTTAGAAAATGAGTTCTTCACTTTCTTTGTGAGAGCTGTGGATAGTGGGTCTCCGTCAAGGGAATCTGTGGTTCCTGTGTATGTTAAAATACTTCCACCAGAAATACAACTTCCAAAATTTTCGGAACCGTTTTATACCTATACGGTTTCAGAAGACATGCCTATTGGAACAGAGATCGACCTCATCCGAGCAGAACATAGTGGGACCGTTCTTTACAGCCTAATCAAAGGGAACACTCCTGAAAGTAACAGGGATGAGTTCTTTGTGATTGACAGACAGAGCGGCAGACTGAAACTTGAAAAGAGTCTTGATCACGAAACGACTAAGTGGTACCAGCTTTCCGTACTTGCCAGGTGCGCTCATGAGGACTACGAGGTGGTGGCATCTGTAGATGTTAGCATCCAAGTGAAAGATGCAAATGATAACAGCCCTGTGTTAGAGTCTAACCCGTATGAGGCTTTTATTGTTGAAAACCTGCCAGGGGGGAGTAGAGTCATCCAGGCCAGGGCATCTGATCTGGATTCGGGAACCAATGGCCAAGTCATGTACAGTCTCGATCAGTCACAAAGTGTGGAAGTCATCGAATCTTTTGCCATTAACATGGAGACAGGCTGGATTACGACCCTCAAGGAACTTGACCATGAAGAGAGAGACCATTACCAGATTAAAGTGGTTGCATCAGATCATGGTGAAAAGGTCCAGCTCTCCTCCACGGCCATCGTGGATGTTACTGTCACCGACGTCAACGACAGCCCCCCACGATTCACGGCAGAGATATACAAAGGGACCGTGAGCGAAGATGACCCACCAGGCGGTGTCATCGCCATCTTGAGTACCACAGATGCCGATTCTGAAGAAATTAATAGACAAGTTACATATTACATAACAGGTAAAACATTGAAGCAAAATGGTTTAAGTTAAACATAAATTGGATTAGAGGTATACATTTTGAAATATAGTATTTTAGGGAGATCGGGAGTTAAAGGGATGATTTTAATTAAGCCTAAAATAAGTAGAAATAACATCTGTTAAGCTACATTGAAGAGGCTAACAGTTGTCATTAGACTATTTTTGTTTTGAATGTTTATTTTTGAGAGTGAGAGCGTGAAAGCGGGGGAGGGGCAGAAAGAGAGAGGATCTGAAGCAGGCTCCAGGCTCTGAGCTGTCAGCACAGAGCCCAACACGAGGCTTGAACTCCCGAACCGTGAGATCATGACCCGAGCCGAAGTTGGAGTCTTAGCCAACTGAGCTACCCAGGCACACCCCTGGACTGTTTTTGATTTTTATGACTCATTCTGTTGAACTTAGCAAATGATAAATATGTATTACAACTATATTTTCCGTATAGGGTAACGTATTGTTTAGTAGGCTTTTATGTTTTCTTTAGCTTAATGCTGTGTTTCAGTACACATTTTAATGCCTTGATGTTTTGGTGGTGGTGGCAGTAACTGGGTAAGTTAATAAGCCAAATTTAAATGTAGTAATTTTTTTTAAAAACCCTTAATTCTTTTAAACCATAACACTAAATGTATTTATTTCTCCTGTCACTTAGATCTTTACTTATTTCAGCCAATTTGTCCTCTTCCTCCATTGATTTAATAGGAGGAGATCCTTTGGGACAGTTTGCTATTGAAAATATACAGAATGAATGGAAGGTGTTTGTGAAGAAACCTCTGGACAGGGAAAAAAGGGACAATTATCTTCTGACTATCACAGCAACCGATGGGACCTTCTCCTCAAAAGCCATAGTTGAAGTGAAAGTTCTTGATGCAAATGACAACAGTCCCGTCTGTGAAAAGGTAGGCGGTTCTTTCTTTATGTATTACGAATTTGGATTTCTTTCTGAACCTTTCATTCGGACTCTCCTGTGGCGCTGGCTGTAATTCAGATGCGTTTTGTATGATAGCCGGTTAGCATTTAAGCAGAGGTGAGTGTTGAGTGGGGCAAGAGTTGGATCAGCTCCAGAACTATTTTGGGAAATGCTCAGTAGTTGGAACAGCTCATTCACAGATGCTGTAAATTACAGACAAGATTGCAGTTATGTTTAACTCTAAAAATGCTTTGTGAAGATTTCATTCCCCTTATTGGGGGCTGAGCCTATTTTGGGGGCGCTGGCTGTTCTACACGAGGGCCCCGCAGCTCTGGGGCCCGTTGAATCTGAGAACACATACACCAAGAAGGAGCCGTTCCCATCCAAGCCTGCGGTGGGAGGACCGGGGCAGGAGTGCTCCCGGGGAGGGGCGGGGGTGTCAGCCTTTGGGAGGTGGTGATTAGATCGGCAGAGGAGTTGGGACTCGGTCCTAGAGAAGAGAGGACCTCGGAACCCGTTGTGTTTGGAAGGTGGAGCTGCCGTGAGCCAAGAGTTCCTTACAGAAGACATGTTCGTTCGGTAGTGTTGTGTACACTTGGATGAGCGCGAGTGAGAGCACAGGGTGGAGGCGGCCAAAGGCACAAAGGGACAAAAGCCGGTGCAGAGCGCAAGCTGGTGCCCGTGGTGCCGCCTGCGGGTGACAGCATGGCAGGCGTGTGATGTCGGGATTGACTGCCATTTCCTACAGAAGCGAGTGGGAGAAAGACCCAGATAGAAGCCTGGGGTGGGGTTGGCTTAAGAGGAAGCATGTTGTGGTCTGTATTGGACTCATTAAGTCTAGGGTCACGGCACATCCAGTCGAATCGGTTTTGTAGACGTTTAGAGACGGTGAGATTGAAGATGGGCAGGGATGCAAACTTGGCCGTTTCTTTGGATGACGGACAATGGAATCCATCCGAGAGGATGATCATGAAAAGGGACAAAGAGTACCTGTGGGTATTTCCTCTCCTAGGGAGAAGGGAGGAGGAAGCAGAGGCGGGAGGAGGAGACCCCTACCAGGGCAGTGTTACTGAGAGGGAAGGAGCCGAGGATTTTTAGGAGGCAGGACAGCAAATGGGGGTTTGGCTGCTGAACAGATGATGGAGCTGTGGAAGCGAACTGTGGGACTCTGAGAGTGGCTTGGAGACGGAGGGCTCGGCATCTTGATGTGGACAGGTGCCTGGTTGCAGGGAGGGCGCGTGGCAGTAGGCACATAGATTCGCCCACCGAAGAAAGAGGAGAGTCTGAGGAAGAAAGAAGAGTGGTAGATGAAGGGAAGGCTGGGGAAGAGAGCGGGGAAGACGGTCTGGAAGAGGGACAGAGGAGATGAGCAGTGTCACAGCTGCGGCAAGGGACAGAGCCGTTCTCAGGGAAATAGAGCACAGTCAGCAGGGAAGGGAGCTTCAGAGGAGGGAGGACTTCATTCCCATCCATGTCTCTACTTTTTGGCAACAGTATCGTGTACGGCTGGGGGGTTGGTTAAGTCTGTGTGTGTCGTACAGAAAATAAATGTGTGCGTCTTACTGTGTTTTTCTTTTAAACACTCGCACATTACTTGGATATGATGCGCTGTCATCTTTGAGAATAATAAAATTAAGATATTAGCTCATTTGAAATCATCAATGTTGCAAAGTATCCTGTTTCATGAGTCATAAAGTGTAGTTCATCTAGAATTGAGCTCATCTTAAGAAAAAAAAAAAATCAGCAGAATCTTACCTGTTAGCCTTGTGTGTTGGTTGATAGCATGGATTTCTAATGAGTTGGAACTGGAAAGAAGTGTTGATTATGTTTGAGTTCAGTCAGATGGGAAGGGCGGGGGCAGAGTAACAGAAGAGTCCTGGCCATGGTGTCGCTTGCACTCACCCTGGTGACCTGGGGGAATCTTTGTTTTCTCCATGACATGAGGATCACATCTGTCTCCACTGCAGTCACCTGGCTGTGTGTTAGGAAAGATTGCAAATAATAACTTCCTGTATTGAAAATAGACAGGATGTAACAGGCATTGACTCACCAATTTTCAGATATATATGGAATGCTACTATGTTCACTCATAAGAATTGAAGTTAAACATGAAACCAACTTAAAGACACAAAGTATTCAGAATTCTGTAGGTTAAATGTCAGATCAGACTCTTCCATTGATACAGAGGAATTACCTGTGACGTGACTCCTTTTTGTTTTAAATATGTTTTGTAAGAAAAATCGGTTTCAAAAGCTCCTCGGATTTTTAAACTCTGTCATTTCCCACATTTTCTGTGACCAAAGTTAAATGATTATTTTTTCTGTTATTCCCTTGGCAGTCATGTTAACGCTTAATGTTTTATGTTCGTGGTATTCAAAATCTTTGTAGAGCTTATATTCGGAAACGATTCCAGAAGATGCCTTTCCCGGGAAGCTGATCATGCAGGTGTCTGCTACAGATGCAGATATCCGCTCCAATGCTGAAATTACTTACACATTATTTGGTCCAGGGGCAGAAAAGTTCAAACTAAATCCAGACACAGGTAAGATGGGGTTTGGGGCAAAATTCACCATGTTCCAGCAAAGTCATATCAGATATAGGTGGTGTTAGGTCACATGTAAAATTTGAAATTTTATCCCGTTCCTTGAAAATTTACTCTGATGCTACAAAATTGGCATCTTTTAGAATTAGAAATCTACACAGCAATTTAGTGTGTAAAATTTGGGATAAGATAAAAAAAAATTGACAACAATATCACCTACTTGAACCCAGAATTTAAAATTTAGTTTTTAATAGTAACTTTAAAAAACACTCCATAATTGGGCACCTGGGTGGCTCAGTCGGTTGAGCGTCCGACTCTAGCTCAGGTCATGCTCTCACAGTTCGTGAGTTCAAGCCCGGTGCCGGGCTCTGTGCTGACAGCCCAGAGCCTGGAGCCTGCTTCGGATTCTGTGTCTCCCTCTCTCTCTGACCCTCCCCTGCTCATGCTCTGTCTCTGTCTCAAAAATGAATAAACATTTAAAAAAAAAAACCACACAACTCCATAATTTAAGTATATCTTAGACTTTGTGCTTCATCTGTTTTGTATATATTTTTCTTGAATATGTGGCCATAAATTAATAATTTAGCATATTCATTAAATGATGAATGGTATTCTGTTCATCTTTATATCTTTAAGACTGTTAGATTGTTTTCTCTCTTACAGTTTGTATTTTGTTAATATCAGGAGTCCAAGTAACAGTTTTCTGGGAGTTCCACCCCCCAGAACTGATTGTAAACATATGAATCTGTAAGTCAATTTAAAAATATTTTAAATTTGGTAAATAGGTAGCTTTTTTTTTTTTTTTTTTTTTTTTTTTAAAGCTAGCTCCCAGCAGGGTTTGGAAACCTGGATCTCAGTGTGCTCCTGCAGCCGTTGACTCTATAGCGTTGATAAAATTGCTGCTCGAAAATTTTGTCATTGTAAGAGGGAAAGGGGAAGAAATAGATGTGCATTTGCAGCTCACACCTTAAATTTCAAGTGAATCCACTTTTTTGTTTGTTTTCAGGTGAACTGAAAACATTAGCCCCCCTTGATCGTGAGGAGCAAGCAGTTTATAACCTGCTCGTCAAGGCCACAGATGGAGGGGGTAGATTCTGTCAAGCCAGTATTGTGCTCACATTAGAAGATGTGAATGATAATGCCCCTGAATTCTCAGCCGATCCGTACGCCATCACCGTGTTTGAGAACACAGAGCCTGGGACGCTGTTGACTAGGGTCCAGGCCACGGACGCAGATGCAGGTACCGTCCAGCTGATGCTGTTGGCTTCAGTCTGTGCTCTGAGATCTTAGGAACCTCATCCCCAATTCGGTCTCTTTGACTTACTGACCTTATGCATATTGATTAACTCACTGTTGTATTTTTTAATTCCTCAGCATTAAAAATGGAATGAAATCTTTAGGATAATGAATTCATTTTTTATTCACGTTTGAAGTCTCAAAATTGTGCCCCGTGCATGTACCATTGTAAGACATCTGTGGTGTCCCTAAAATTACGGTCAGAGACTGTATTACCTGATCTTCATATCCAATTGAATTAATCAGTGAAGTGTTATTTTATGAATAAACCATTAGTGACGTAGAGATTTTAATGTGGAGACAGAACAGCAAATGTTACACTGCTGTAGTTTTATAAACCTTTCACAATTTTTATGGAGAATATAATAGTCTAGGATACATATTTATAATCTTTCGATAGAGAAAACAATTTCTTAAGTCATACTAATACTGAAGAATTGAAGCAATAACAAAAGTACCACTTTTCAAATAAATCTTTGACACTGAGGCTAAATCATAGATTTCATTTTAAAAGACCTGCTGGGTACTGCAGGACCATATGCTGTAGAATTTAGTCTTAAAAAGCCAGGTAACTATGGAATTGTATTTGTTTTAGGTTAGTAAGTTGTCAGTGAAGATGTTTGCTTTTTAAAGATCAGAGTCCTAGGAGCGTCTCAGTAACGAGCGTTCGCATTTTCCTTTTAAAACATGCTACACGTTTTTTCAAAAAATAATTTAAATTTCTTGAAATAAAACACTCTGACGTGATGTCATGTGTCAACAGGACTGAATCGGAAGATCTCCTACTCGCTGGTGAACTCTGCTGACGGGCAGTTCTCCATTAATGAATTCTCCGGAATCCTTCAGTTAGAAAAGCCCTTGGACCGAGAAGTGCGGGCCGTGTACACCCTTACTCTGAAAGCCGTAGACCAGGGTTTGCCGAGGAGGCTGACGGCTACCGGCACTGTTGTGGTGTCCGTCTTGGATATAAATGACAACCCCCCTGTGTTTGAATACCGTGAGTACGGCGCCACCGTGTCTGAGGACGTTCTTCTCGGCACAGAAGTTCTCCAGGTGTATGCGGCCAGTCGGGATATCGAAGCGAATGCGGAAATCACCTACGCAATAATAAGTGGAAACGAACATGGAAAATTCAGCATAGACTCCAAAACAGGTAACCTGCCCTGAAAATGAGAAGAAGGCCTTTATTCTGCCAAAAAAGGCGAGATGGCCCAGCACGTTAGGCAGTACAGAGTGCCAGCTCGTAGATCGGCAGTAGATCCTTTAAAAAGATGAAGGTTCTAAGTGCCTTCGGCGTTTAAGCGGGGAAATGAAAGCACACTCCAGGAATTCAGTCGAGATGTCCGATGCATTACGTGAGTAAAGATCAAGAGTGGGAGGTGGTGGAGGGTCTTGCGTAATGGCTACTCGTTCTCCATATTGAGTCCGCGTGAAGTAGCTTCTTAAGGGAAACCATAGTTTCTGCCTCTTCGATCCTAGTCTCTGTAGGAGGCATCTGATAATTCATTAAAATTGACGTCTTCATACGCTAGGTATATAGAATAGCCGAAGTACTTTGAATCGCAATGAATAACTATCCACAAGGTCAAGAGTTGCAGGAGGTATTGACTCCTGCTCCATACACGCTTTTGTCATCTTGTTAACCTGTGGTCTAAGCTGTTCGAATGTTGTACAAAGTCACTCCTTTCAAACTGTATTTAATTGAGTGTGACTATTTCAGATGAGGAGCAGGTGTGTGCTGATGGGATTTTAAAATGTAGTTTTAATGCATACTGTAGAATTATTACTTTTAGGGCTTTTTAATAGGATGGACTGTAAGGAAACGAGAGGTGTTAAAGGAATCGTTAAATCAAAAAGATTTTATTTTATTTTTTATTTTTAAAAATTTCCATCCAGGGGCGCCTGGGTGGCGCAGTCGGTTAAGCGTCCGACTTCAGCCAGGTCACGATCTCGCGGTCCGTGAGTTCGAGCCCCGCGTCGGGCTCTGGGCTGATGGCTCGGAGCCTGGAGCCTGTTTCCGATTCTGTGTCTCCCTCTCTCTCTGCCCCTCCCCCGTTCATGCTCTGTCTCTCTCTGTCCCAAAAATAAATAAAAAACGTTGAAAAAAAAAAATTAAAAAAAAAAAAAAAACCAAAAAACAATAGCCAAAGTATGGAAAGAGCCCAAATGTCCATCAATGGATGAATGGATAAAGAAAATGTGGTATATATATACAATGGAGTATTACTCGGCAATCAAAAGAATGAAATCTTGCCATTTGCAACTACGTGGATGGAACTGGAGGGTATTATGCTAAACGAAATTGGAGAAAGACAAAAATCATATGACTTCACTCATATGAGGACTTTAAGAGACAAAACAGACGAACATAAGGGAAGGGAACCAAAAACAACATAAAAACAGGGAGGGGGACAAAACAGAAGAGACTCATAAATATGGAGAACAAAACTGAGGGTTAGTGGAGGGGGTGTGGGAAGGGGGATGGGCTAAATGGGTAAGGGGCACTAAGGAATCTACTCCTGAAATCACTGTTGCACTGTATGC